TTTCAGGAATATATATTATTTTTACATATATCTGACTATTCCTTACTAGAACTGATAAAAATTTATAATTTTTTTTTGAGAACAATATTTTAAAATTTTATATGGATTTGAGTAAAGCATGCGTAATTTCTGAATTAATTAATGGAAATAGCTATTTTGTAAAAAACCTACTGGATTGGGGAAATGTATGTCATTTACGTCACTGTTTCTGACAGGCCATCTCTGACAGGGTGAGATAAAACACTGCAAAAAAAGTCAAACGCCATAATTTGTCTAATTTTTATACCCTTCACCACACTGTGGTAAAGGGTATTATGTCTTTGTGCATATGTTTGTAACAGGCAAAAGGAAACGAGATAGACACATGGTTCCTTTTGAGAATATGCATAGAATCACATTCTGAGTCGATTTCGAATTTGGCTCAAGTCACTTATTTGGCCCAAGGACGAACCCTATTGAAATTGGGAAAAATCGGTTTAGATTTATATATAGCTCCCATATATATTTTCGTCCGATTTTATGTAAATGGTGCACCAAAGTCCCTATATATCCTTCGATTTGCACGAAATTTGGCACAGAGTACTGAATTAAGAGCAGAATGGTGTGTGCCAAGTTTCGAGAAAATCGTTTCAGATTTAGATATAGCTCCCATATATAGTTTCGTCCGATTTAAGGTAAATGGTGCACAAAAAGTCCCTACATATCATACGATTTGCATGAAATTTGGCATAGCGTAATAAATTAGGTGCAGAATGATGTATGCCAAGTTTAGAGAAAATCGGTTCAGATTTAGATATAGCTCTCATAATATATTTTCGTCTGATTTAATGTAAATGGTGTACCAAAGTCCCTATATATCTTTCAATTTTCATGAAATTTGGCATAGCGTAATGAATTAGGCCTAGAATGATGAGTGTCAAGTTTCGTGAAAATCGGTCGAGATTTAGATATAGCTCCCATATATGTTTTCGTCCGATTTAATGTAAATGGTGTCGTCCGATTTTACACAAAATTGACACAAATTTTGCACAACGTACTGTAGTTAGAATAACCTAGAAGTTGGATATAAATGCTTCACCAAGGTGGGTCCAATCGTCACAAAATTTTGCACTACGTACTGAAGTTACTATAACATAATGTGTGGCAAGTTTAGTTGAAATCGGTTAAGATTTAAATGAATTTACATAATTTTGTCCCTGGTCCTTCAAAAATTCTGCCCCGTCCGACTTTACTACTTTCCTTACTGGTTATTTTTAAATTTTATTGAATGAAAGCAAAAACTGTCAGAAATATTATCAAATTTTAGAATAAGTTTAGATTTGTTGAGATCGGTTACCTTTGACACGAATTATTGCCTTCAAATCGGCAATGAAACCGTCACACGCTATCCAAATGTTGCCCTGCGGTATTTTGGACCATTCCCGCTTGCTTGAGATGATCGACACTTTGGTATTTTTTAGTCCCAACCTTGCTTTCCAAAATACTCCAGACAAAATAGTCCAATGGATTGGTATCCGAAGATTTTGGTGGCCATTGTGCGCTGGACATGAAGCGAGGAACCTCATTCTGTAACCATTCTTGGATGGCGCGTGCTGAGTGCGAGTCCTGTTGGAATGTTCAAGGTCTGCGGCCAAAATGTTTGCGTGCCCAAGGCTTTAATACACCCTCCAGAATATTTTCGCAATAATATTCGGTACTTATTCTGATGCCACGGTCGATTATTACGACCTGAGAGCGTAATAATCGGCTGTTGTGGCGGCCGAAATTTCAATTTGCAAATGTGGTAAAATGAGCTCGGGGTATCATTTTTCAATATTTGCCGAATGGAGTATTACGATATGTTCAGCTCACGAGCCATTTTTCGGCCACTGCCACGTGGGTTTCGATGAAGTCGCTTCTTTACTTTTTGAATAATATTTTGTCTGATTGAGACAAAATTTTGCACAACGTACTGAATTATGTCCAGATTAATGAATGTGAAGTTTTGTTGGAATCGATTCAGATTTAGATATAGCTCCCATATATAGTTTCGTCCGATTTTATGTAAATGGAGCACCATACTGTCCATATTTGTCCGATCCAGACAAAATTTTGCACAGCGTACTAAATTAGATCCCGATTGATGTATGCGAAGTTTTGTTGAAATCGATTCAGATTAAATATAGCTCCCATTTATAGTTTCGTCCGATTTTATGTAAATGGTGAACCAAACTTCCAAAGATTGTCCGATTGAGACAACATTTTGCACAGCATACTGAATTAAGGGAACCCCTCCTCATTCTCGATTTTTTGATAATTTACAAACAATTGTTGTTGTTGTTTTGTTGTCGTTTTTTATAAGCAAAGAAAGTCCCTATTTTTGATTGCGGGCATGATAACTTCTCACTGTTCGCTTTACATGAAATATAGTAGAGAGTATTGGATTGAAAATTTTGGAACTCGTATATTCAGGTTTAGATATAGCTTCCATATATATTTTTATCCAATTTAATTTAAATGGGGTACCAAATAACTAAAGTTTTTCCGATTGTGATGAATTTCTGCACAACGTATCAAATTAGAGCTATAATAAAGAGTATTGGATTTTGTAAAAAAATATTCACATGCAAATATAACCCCTATATATTAGGTTGCGGAAAAAGAAATCCATAATTTTTAACTCCTGTGCGATGTTACGACTGCTAACATGCCGGTCTACTTCAATCATTTCTCCGATTTTATTGAAATTTGTTATGTGTTATGTGTATGGTTTTTATACCCTTCACCACACTGTGGTACAGGGTATTATGTCTTTGTGCATATGTTTGTAACAGGCAAAAATAATCGAGATAGACCCATGGTTCCTTTTGAGAATATGCATAGAATCACTTTCTGAGTCGATTTATGCATGTCCGTCTGTCCGTCCAAGTATTTTGTTAACAAAGTACAGGTTGCATTTATGATCCGATTTAAATGAAATTTGGCACAGGTCACTTAATTGGCCAAAGGACAAACCCTATTGAAATTTGGCGAAAATCGGTCCACGTTTAAGCATAGCTCCCATATAAGGGTACCCCCAAAATTTCGGTATTTTGAGGTTCTTGAGCGCATTTTTCGACCGAATTCGCTGAAATTTGGTACTTTGAGTTCTAATTGGGTAGCAAATCTCCCTACCAAAAATTATAAATAAAGGTCCATTTTTTCGGATAGCCCCCATATAAAGGTACCCCCAATTTTCGGTATTTTCGGGTTCTTGGGCTCGTTTTATAACTGAATTCTCTGAAATTTTGTACATTGGGTTCTTATTAAGTACCAAATTACTCCACTAAAAATTATAAATATAGGTCCAGTTTTTCTGGTAGTCCCCATATAACGGTACCCCCAAATTTTTGGTATTTTGGGGTTCTGATCGTATTTTTCGACCGAATTGACTGTAATTTAGTACATCGAGTTCGTATTAGGTAGCAAATCTCTCCACTATAAATTATAAATATAGGTAAATTTTTTCGTGTAGACCCCATATAAGGGTACCCCACATTTTCGGTATTTTGGTGTTCTTGAACCAAATTATTTTTATACCCTTCACCATACTGTGGTACAGGGTATTATGTCTTTGTGCATATGTTTGTAACAGGCAAAAGGAAACGAGATAGACGCATGGTTCCTTTTGAGAAAATGCATAGAATCACTTTTTAAGTCGATTAATACATGTCCGTCGGTCCGTCCGTCCATGTATTTTTGTTAACAAAGTACTGGTCGCATTTGTGATCCCATTTGGATAAAATTTTGCACAGTTCACTTATTTGACCCAAGGACGAACCCTATTGAAATTGGGAAAAATCGGTTAAGATTTACATATAGCTCCCATATATATTTTCTTCCGATTTTATGTAAATGGTTCACCAAAGTCCCTATATAATCTTCGATTTGCACGAAATTTGGCATAGGATTCTGAGTTAAGCCTAGAACGACGTGTGTTAAATTTCGTGAAAATCGGTTCAGATTTTGATAAAGCTCCCATATATATTTTCGTCCGATTTTAGGTAAATAGTGCACCAAGGTCCCTATATATCCTACGATTTCCACAAAATTTGGCTCAGCATTCTGAATTAAGCCTAGAACGATGTGTGCCAAGTTTTGTTGTAATCGGTGCAGATTTAGATATAGCTACCATATATATTTTCATCCGATTTTAGGTAAATAGTGCACCAAAGACCCTATATATCCTTTGATTTCGTGAAAATCGGTTTAGATTTAGATAAAGCTCCCATATATATTTTCGTCCGATTTTATGTAAATGGTGCACCAAAGTCCCTATATATCCTTCTATTTGCAAGAAATTTGGATTTATAAGTAAATGAAGAACTCAAAATGTGGCCGAAGATGTGACAAGTTTCGATGAAATCGGTTTAGATTTCTATATTTTGCTTTTAATTTATTTACATAATTTTGTCCCATTGTAAGAAGCAACTCTATATCTGACCAAAATTTAGTATAGGTTGCAGAATGACATGTTTAATTTCATGTTAATGGTCCTTCAAAAATGCGATGTCTGTTAGGATTCCATATATTGAATATATCCAAAGTGGTGAAGGGTATCTTATAGTCTGTCCCGTCCGACTTTACTACTTTCCTTACTGGTTTTTTTTTGGTTCAAATATCTAAGTAGATCGCACATTTAATTTCAACCGATTCTATTTACAACATATTGACATATTAGCAAATCTTGTATGTACCCAAAGTGGTGAAGGGTATCATATAGTCGGCCCCGTCCGACTTTTGAACTTTCCTTACTGGTCTTTATTTGTTTTATTAGCTTCAAAATAAAACTTTATTTTTGATTATACCATAATAGCACTTACCCCATATTCTGTTTATTTATAGTCCAGTGTTACCATAGTCAATTATGAAGATTGTCATAATACCGCATGAAACTAGGCAACCGAGTGCCATAAACAACGCTTATTTATTATTATTTTAAGCAACACATCAATAGCGGCAGTTTCAATAAATTCTTCGAAGAAGTCAACATGTCCAAAGCAACGACAATTAAAGAAGCCCTTAAACGGTGGGAAGAACGTGAACAACAAAATGCCACACAGGCCACCTGTATTGAGTTGCAATTTCAATGGCCACCAATAGAAAAAATGGACAATACCTTAGGTACACTGGTCAATTGTGAGTGAGTATCGGAAGTCCTTTTGGATGAATATAACCTATAAAATAAATCTATCACCTTTTCATTCAGACGCCTCAGTCTTTCCACCAACATGATTGAGAAAATATTCGGTTTAAATGGCATGAAAAATCTTCGTGTCTTGTCGTTATCAAGGAATTATATTAAACAAATATCGGGTTTGGTAAGTTGGAATAATAAATTACGATGTTCATGAGAAATTGTAGTAAAAATCATTTTCCTTGCAGGAAGCTGTCGCTGAGACCCTTGAAGAACTTTGGTTAAGCTATAACCTAATAGAGAAACTCAAAGGCCTCACGGCTCTCAAAAAATTAAAGGTCTTATATATTAGCAATAATTTGATAAAGGATTGGTCTGAATTTAATCGTTTACAAGAATTGGAAACATTGGAAGATTTAGTTGTTGTCGGCAATCCCATTTCGGAGGGCATGGATGAGGCCACCTGGAGGGCTGAGTGCATTAAACGTTTGCCAACAATAAAGAAATTAGACGGGGAACCGGTGGTTTTAAATGAAGAACCGACATTATAAAAAAGCTATATAATTTATTCATAATTGTTTTTTATTTGCTTTGTTGTTTTTTGTTTATTATTTGTCAATAAATTGTGTGTAATGTTGTGTTAACAAATTTTTATGCATGATTAATAATTAGATTGGTTTTGTCAACAAATCAAGTGGAAAATTGAAAAAAATATTTTGAAAACAAATAGGAAATTGTTGTTTGTGGTTAGCTTTTTATTAAAAAAAAACGAATTATTACAAGGTTTGCTATTTATATTTTAATGTCACTATTTTCTGAAGTAGAGGGCAAAATTTAAAGTATTTGCTAAATCGCTTCAAGCTAAGCTTTATATTTCACATATAAAATCGGTTCAGACTTATGTTTAGCTTCCAATTTGGCATATCGTATTAAATTGGAGTCTAGAATATGTCTTTGAAACACCCTATGCCGTTCCGAATATTGCGAAATATTGTAAATAATTCCGATACCTAAATATTATATACTAGTGCCCGCTACTTCGTATGCGGAAAGGGAATACAAAAAAGTTTTTGTAAAATAGGCTGAATCCCAATGTTTTAATATTAAAACATAACATAAAATTGAATGAAAAAAATATGTGATATTTATCTAAATGCGAATCTACCTAGATCTATTCATAAAGTATGCCAATCGACTTCAAACAAATATAAATAGAAAACGAAACTACGTAATTCTATGCTCAATTTTGTACGTTGCTCAAAATTTGATGTCAATCTGACTAACATGAGGAGTTTGATGGCCAATTTACTTGAAATTGGGCGAAAATATATATGGAAGATCTATCCAAATATTAAGCGATTTCAAACAAATCTGTCACAGGTTAGGTTATACTAATTTCAGAACTTTACTATCAGCCTATTGGTTCCTTGGTGCGTCAATTACTTAAAATCAATCTATAATAATAAAAGGGAGCTATATCTGAATCTGGACCGATTTTCACGAAACAAGGCGGACATCACTTTAAGCTCAATTCAGTACGTTATGCCAAATTTCGTGCAAATCGAAAGATATATAGCGACTTTGTTGCACCATTTACCTGAAATCGGACGAAACTATATGTGGGAGCTATAAAGAAATCTGGACCGATTTTCTCGAAACTTGGCAGACATCACTCTAGGCTCAATTTAGTACGTTATGCCAAATTTCGTGCAAATCGAAGGATATATAGGGACTTTGGTGCACCATTTACATGAAATCGGACGCAACTATATATAGGAGCTATATCTAAATCTGGACCGATTTTCTCGAAACTGGGCAGACATAATTCTAGGATCAATCCAGTACGTTTTGCCAAATTTCGTGGACATGCATAAATCGACTTAGAAAGTGATTCTATGCATATTCTCAAAAGGAACCATGGGTCTATCTCGTTTCCTTTTGCCTGTTACAAACATATGCACAAAGACATAATACCCTGTACCACAGTGTGGTGAAGGGTATAAAAAACAACTTTTTATTAACGGGGAATGTATGGCAATAATCTTAGTTCCACCGATGTCTAAATTGTACCAAATTTAGTACTTTTTTACTCATAAGTACGAATTTCCCAATGTAGCTCAATCCTGCATTCAAATAGTGATCGTAAGTCCCATTAAAAACCAAATTGTATCAGATCAGACCATTCTGTACTTTTCGTCCCTACATTCTAAACATATCTCAATATTCTAAACCTGATTTCAAATATCAATAGTAAGTCTATATTTAAGAATTCCAGCTCTGTCTATTCACCAAATTGTACCAGATTTCGTACCATTCTGTAATTGTCGTACCCATATCCCAAACCTATATCAATCATACACTCCCACAACTTTCACGATTCGAGTTCTACCCGTTAACCAAAGTCTAAATTGTACCAAATTTTGTGCTTTTCTAATCCGTAAGTACCAATTTCCGAAACTATGTCACTCCAATAATAACCTTAAGTCTACATTTAAGGATTCCAGCTATATCCGTTCACCAACATTCAAAATGTACCAAATTTAGTACAATTATTACTTTTCGTAGACGTACAAGTTTCCAAAACGTCTTCAATTCCAATTCAGTAGTACAAAATGAAAAAACTCGGTGTTGCAAACATAAATTTACTGTGAAAAAAATTCATTTGCATTCATTTTGATGTGCACGAAATTTGGACCAGAGTTAAGAATAAGATCGAGAATGATGTCTGCCAAGTTTCGTGAAAATCGGTTCTGATTTAGATATAGCTCCCATATGTATTTTCATCCGATTTAAGGTAAATGGTACACCAAAGTCCCTATATGTCTTTCGATTTGCACGAAATTTGGAACAGCGTAATGAATAAGGTCACGAATGATGTGTGCAAAGTTTCATGAAAATCGGTTCAGATTTAGATATAGCTTCCATATATAGCTTCGCCCTATTTAACGTTAATTGTGTACCAAAGTCCCTATATATCTTTTGATTTGCACGAAATTTGGCCCAGCGTACTAAATTAAGTATAGAATGATGTGTGCAAAGTTTCGTGAAAATCGGTTCAGATTTAGATATAGCTCCCATATATAGCTTCGCCCGATTTTAGGTAAATAGACCACTAAAGTCCCTAGAAATCTTTTGATGTGCACGAAATATGGACCAGAGTTATGAATACGATCGAAAATGATGTCTACCAAGTTTCGTGAAAATCGGTTCTGATTTAGATATAGCTCCTATATGTATTTTCATCCGATTTAGGTAATTGGTGCACTAAAGACCCTATATACCTTTCGATTTGCACGAATTTTGGTATATGGTACTGAATTAAGTCTAGAATGATGTTGCTAAGCTTCGTGAAAAAATCCATAGCTAAGCCGATTGACACAACGTACTGATCTTATATAAATTAGTATCTGGCAAGTTTCCCTGAAATCGGTTCAGATATAGATTTATAACCAAACGCGTCGTCTGTTAGGATACATATGTAAAATATACCCAAAGTGGTGAAGGGTATCATATAGTCGGCCCAGTCCGACTTTACTTCTTTCATTACTGGTTTTCCATCTCTATCCGTTCACTAAAATCTAAATTGTACCAAATTTACTATAATTTATTATACATAATACCGAAATTTCAAAACTACCGACACATCTCAATCATGTACTCCAACTGTAATTTAAATTCAAAATTTCAGGATCTCAGCTCCATTCTCTCGCACAAAAACGATTTGTAAAGTAGTACAAAATATAGTACCATTTAGTACACATGCTTCCGTATCTTAATTCTATACTCCAACAGCAACCATTATTCCAAATTTTAGTTTTCCAGCTCTCTCCGTTCACCCAAATCCAAATTGTACCAAATATTGTGCCGTTTAGTACTTTTCGTACACATAAATACGAATTTCCAACGATGTCGCTATAGCACAATCTTCAACAGTAATCTGAATTCTAAATTTTATGTTTTCAGCTCTATCCGTTCAAGCAAAATCAAGAATCTACTAAATTTTGTACCATTTAGCACTTTTCACCACCAATAAGTACGAATTTCCAAAACTACCTCCATCCTAAACTGCAACAGTAATTTAATTGCCAATTTGAAGACTCTAGCTCTATTTAAATCCAACTTGCACCAAATTTAGTACCATTAAGTACTTTTCGTACACACAAGTACAATTTTTTAAATTTAACTCAATCCTGTACTCCAATAGCAGTCCTAATTTCGATTTTCAGGAGTCCATCTCTATACACTCAACTAAATGAAAAAAGTACTAAATTTAGTACCATTTTGTACTTTTTATACACATAAGTAGGAATTTTTTAAACCATTTCCATACACCAACACCACTTCCCAACCTTTATTCCGTATGAAATTTCAAGATTCTAGCTATACATGTTCAATAAATACACGATTAGAACTAAATTTAGTAATTCGTCACATAGTGGTGGGAATGCAGTATCTCTCTGGCTTTCCTTTTCATTGCAACTCCGATCATATACCTCATCTCGAAAGAGAGATTTATGAAATAAATTTAGTAATGTTTAGTGCTTTTAGTACACTTACAGGTCAAATTTCCAAAAACCCTTTTGTACAGCTTTCTAACGTTCCATCAGTGACCCACATTCCAAATTTCAGAATTCTACCTCTTCGCGTCCGCCTAATACAGAGGGTACCAATTTGGTACATTTCGTACCCTTCTAATTCGAATTTCCAAAAACCCAGCCTTATCTTACGCCTACACACCAACAACAACCCACACTCAAAATTTCTAGCTTCAGCCGTTTCGTCTGGGGGATGATCTGTCAGTCACTCACTCACTTAACACTAAGCTCTTTATACCCTACACAACTATGTTGTCAGGGTATTATAGCTTTGTGCAGCCCCAAAAGTTTGTAACGCCGCGAAATATTGGTCCTAGACCAACCGTTAAGTATACCGATCGTCATATCTAGGTCCTAGACCCGGGAAGTTGATAGTATGTTCAAGAGGAGTGGTTGACGTTTAAATTGATACCAATTATATTGTCGTATGTACTTGGATGCAGGACTTACACATAACTATTTACAGGTGCTTACGTATTCATATATTATTTAGTAACCCATTACCATACTAGAGAGCGGAAATATAGCGCTGATCGCTTTGAAATTTTCCATGAGGTTCAAGTTATGGTCAAGGTCAACGCCTATAATTTTCGGTGATGATCAAATAATAATTTTGGGATGAAGTGGACCGAAAACTTATTTTTTGGTTTTTTTCGAGTCGATCTATAGGTTAAAATTGAAAGCCTATAGATCGAGTCGATCTATAGGCCAAAATTGAAAGCCGAACATCACAACACAACCCACGGTGATTAGAAGGGCTGTACTGAATATTTTTAATATTTCTTGACATCTAGTCGGTCAAGAGGGTGCAAATATCGCGAAATATTGCCCAAGCTCAGAAAGTTATAGTTTCGTGTAAGTTGTGTAGGGTATCATATGGTCGGTCCAGTCCGACTATACTGCTCCGCTCACTGGTTTATATATATATATATATATATAGATTTTTTGCTATTTCG